AATTTGGCCCACTGCAGAAGTCCCAGAAGAGGGACAAGGCAGATTTCTCGCCCTTCCCTTGCAACTGGGCCATTGAAGGCAGGACAAGGGAAAAAAAGCAGTTGTCGTACGCATGTAAGGCTGTGTTCATGGTTGGCGTGACGTTTGAGCGACGAGGCAAGTAGAGGTGTCCATCTAGCAATCGCCAGCGACTACTCGCCAAAAGTTCAAAATTGCCGCTCTACGCTCAAAACGCTGGCGTACGCTCAAACGCTGGCGCAAAGTATGAACGCACTCTTATGACAGCTCATATATCACGGCGCCCTGTGGTTCAGCCTTGTGGTTGACAGTCAGGGGACTCGAGACGGGAGAGTGACCGTATCACCGCATACGGTGGCAGTGGGTATCCCTTTACGATCATAGATTTGTGAGGTGCGGGTAAGGGCATCATTGAATTTAGTGCGCCTCATTTGCTATAAGAAACTGCTGCTATGCTGTTAATCATTTAGGGTGTCGGATATGGACACAAGGACGCCCTTGCTCTCCAGATGGCCAATCAATTTATTGGTGAGTTTTAGATTTTTTTGGGATTAATTTCTGTGTTTTCCCTTGGCCAGAATATAAAAGGTCAGACCATAGTGTTTCGAGAGCTAGAGATGATTGTGTTCGGGTCATGGGGGAAGAAGTTGGTGAACTTGTCGAGAAGGATGTGCATTAACATGGGAAGGTGTGCGAGTCTTGGAAATGAATGGGCATTTTAATATTTTCTGGTAGGACATATTAACTACTTCGCATATTTACCACCTCGAGCCGATTATCTTTTACAACGGAGCTACACTTTTCAGGTTGGAGGAGTATGGGGGTTGCTACGGGGTCATGGTGAAGGGCCAACCTTTTCGCGGCCGCCATGGTGTGTTACATGTTTATGAAAAAAAAACACCCTTCACCATTTCTGTGCCGTTATATGTTTGTGTGGGCTGCCTATCGGCTTGTGTGGTCCTTTGCTGGAACGCTAACAGGATTTTACCTCTGTAAAGGTCAGGCTGTAATTGAGTTCTTGGCCATATTATGACGCGAGCGCATACAAAAGCCATCAGAATTCCATCACGCAGCTTAAAAGGTTACAAGCTATCCACTGCCATTCCATGTGATGAACATTCTGTTGCGATTCGATTGCGCCGTTCCGATGACAGTAGCGAAGATTCATCTCTGGAAAATT